AACATTTTCTTTGTGAACAGGGACCAGACAAGGATACTCACTGTCACCACTTCTATACAACATTGTATTGGAAGTGCCTGCTAGGGCAATATGACAAAGAGAAGCAAATAAAAGACATTCAGATGAGCTAAGAGATGTTTAAGCTATCACTCTATGCAGATGATATGATAGTGTACACAAAACACCCCAAAGACTCAACAAAAATTCTTTTAGACCTAGTAGACCAATTTAGACACATCATTGTGGCAGGGCACAAGATCAATATCGAAAAATCAGCAGGATGCCTCTACAGAAAAGAAAACCAAGAAAATAACACCATTTACAACAGCCAACCACAAACTGAGATATACAGGAGTGAATCTAACTAGAGATACAAAAGACCTATACAAACAAAACTACAGAACATTTCTGGGAGACAAAATATAAAACCTAAAGAAATTTTAAAAAGTGCCATTCATGGCTAGGAAGACTCAATATTGTGAAAAAGCAAAAGCAGTCTACATGTTCAACACAATCCCAATCCAGACACCAAATTCATATTTCAAGGAGATTGAAAGAAAAATTCTCAAATTTATTTGCAGAGGAAAGAGACCCCAAATAAGCAAAGAAGCACTTTTGAAAAACAAAAATTAAGTGGGAGGCATAGCACTCCCTGACCTCAAAACCTACTACACAGCAGTAGTAACTAAAACAGCATGGTGCTGGTACAATGACAGACACACAGACCAATGGAACAGAACTGAGAACTCAGAAATGGATCCAGCTATCTACAGTCAATTGATATTCAACAAGGAAATAAAACCTATCAAATGGGAAAATGAAGATATCCTCAAAAAATGGTGTTGGCAAAACTGCAGATAGCTTCCACATCTCACACCATACACAAAAATCAACTCAAGGTGGATCAGAGACCTGGGAATAAAGCCCCAAACCATAAAATTCATCAGAGACAAACTGGGATCAAACTTAAGATTGCCTAGTCTATGATACATAGAGACTGCCAAATATAGCCAGAAATGCACAATGTGGAGAGGATAAAATTGATGACTGGGAACTTCTAACGATTAAATTCCTGTGCGCATTAAAAATTTTCGCCAACAGAGTGAAAAGAAAGCCTACTGATTGGTTAAAAAAATGGCAATATCATTTCAGATAAGGGTCTCATATTAAAAGTTTACAGAATCCTAGAGGGCCTCCACAGGAAAAAAAAAAGTATTAACACAATTACAAAATGGGCAAAAGACATGGAAAGAATTTTCACAGAGGAAGATATTTGGATGGCCAATAGACACATGAAGAAATGCTCAAAATCACTGGCAATAAGAGAGATGCAAATCAAAACCACAATGGAATTACATCTCACCCCAGTAGCAGTGACAAAGTTTAACAGGACAGCAAGTGATATTTTGGAGAGGATGCGGAGAGATAAGAACTCTTACACACTGTTGGTGGGATTGTAAAATGGTACAACCACTCCGGAAGGCAGTTTGGCATTTCTTCAAAAAACTGAACATAGAAATTCCATATGCCCCTGCAACAGCTTGGAATATACCCTGAGAAAATGAGAGCTGAGGCACAAACAGAGACTTGTCCCCTAATGATCATAGCAGTGTTATTCACCATGACAAGAACATGGAGACAGCCCATGTCCAACCATAATAGAATGGATTAAGAAATTATGGTACAATCACACAATAGAATACTACTACTCAGCACGCAGGAGTAACGATTTTGTAAATTACAACCTAACTTGAGAGGGACTGGAGAGCATTATGCTAAGTGAACTAATTAGTTCCTTAAGGACCATTATTGTAGAAATAGATGACATGTATGAAGATCTAAGGTGGGGAAGGTGGGAGCAGAGTCATGAGAATGGGCGAGGGGAGGGTAATCATAGGGTCATACAATTTGATGAGTGAACGAAGGGGTCGATTAAGGAAATGGAAAAGATCTGGGGTGAAAAACAATGTATACAAATTTTTTAAGGGAACCAATATGAAAATAAAAATTTTACATTAAAAAAAAAAAAAGGAATGGACAGAACTGAATACTACCAAGGGTAGGCTTTACTTTTCATGAATTATAAGTCAGTAAGCCTAGCTTTTTAGAAAAAGCGTCTAATTCTTCTTGACTGCTGCTCTTCTGAAAAACCTTCTTTGGGGAGCAGGGCTGCTGGTGAAAAGTTGTCCCCATCCTGTTTTTTCCTCTTATGTGTTCATACAAAAGGAGGAACACATATGACCCAACTATTCCACTGCTTGGAATATACTCCAAGAAAATGAGAACTGGGGCACAAATGGAGACTTGTACCAATATTCGTAGCAGCATTATTCACTGTTGCAAGAACATGGAAACAGCCCTAATGTCCACCCACAATCAAATGGATTGAGAAATCATGGTACATACTATGCAGCATGGGGTAGCAAAGATTTTGTAAATCACTATGTAGTTTGAGAGGGACTAGAGCATTATACTATGTGAATTAACTTAGTCCCATAAGGACAAATACTGTATAAGATCATTATTGTAGAAATAAATAACTAGTAAAATGTGTATGAGGATTTAAGGGGGAGAGAACACAGGGGTGAGGATGGATGGGGCAGAGGTAATCATAGGGTTACACAATTTGATGGGTGGAAGGAAGGCTGAGTTAAAGAAACGGCAAAGAGGTGTGGAAAAACAATGTATACAAACTTTGTAAGTAAACCAATATAAAACGTAATAAGTTTATATTAAAAAATGTAATTTGCTTTAAAAAAAAAAGGAGGAACATGTGGCTGCATCTCAAAAGCAACCAAGTAGGGCGAGAGAAGCCCACAAAATGCAAATTAACCTACTGTGCAAAGAGGCACGAGGAAACTGGGCATGACAGATGGGTGCATACTATTGATTTGGGGTAGTTTTTTCGGGTGTACAAATGTGTCAAAACTTGTCAAATACCTGTAGTTTACTGTATATCAATTACATGTCTAATCAAAGCTGCTTAAAGACATATGCACAGGCAGGTGACAGACAGCGTCCTCTTCTTGGTGAAGAACCAGCACATCAGGGACTACACTTGCTCTGTCAAGCCTCACAGGTAAGTAGTGCAAGGAACTATGTTTAACTCCCCCATTTCCCCAAAGCCAGTTTGACAAAAATGACATTTTGTCTTATAAAAACTGTTAGTATTCTTAGAAACAGAGTCAGAACTAGAATTTTGTAACACATTTAATTAATTGTAACAGTTAACTATAATTTTGGCAAAATATTTTCACTTACATAATATATATTTAGAATATTATTTCAACATACATGACTGTAAAAAATTATTGACATTTTTTGTTTTCTTCATGCTAAGCCATCTGCCATCAACTGTGACTAATGATGAGCCCATCTGCTGAGGTCCAACTACACATGTGCAAAGATTCCACAGCTGTGAGCTTTCAAAGGGTAACCCAGCTAAATAGTGTGTGTGTGTGTGTGTGTGTGTGTGTGTGTTTATATAAAGTGTATCTGCATATCTTCATGTGAAAATACATACACATACTCTCTATAGACACACAGATGAGGGCAGTACTAGATTGTTGTTGTTGTGTGACTTTGAATCAAAATCAACTCACAGTGGCCCTTACAGCAAGTTTTCAGAGGCTGAAAAACTGCATGGGAGGAGATGAGCCATTTTCTCCCACAGAGGCACTGGCAGATTTGAACCAACTGCCTTTGGATTGGCAGCCTAACTGCTCACTCAGCAGGTCACCAGAGCTCTTTAGTTCAGCAGCAGAATCCTCAACTTTCATGCGCAAGACCAGGAATCCATTCCTGGCCAAAGCACCACACATGTTATCTGTCAGGGGAGGCTTACATGCCGCTGTGATGCTGACAGGTCTCCATGGAGTTTCCTAAGAAGGACTAAGAATAAAGTTCAATTTGCTTTCAAAATTCAGTCAGTAGTCATCTTATGGATTACAACAGCCCTGTCTAATCAATGGGGTGGCACAAGAGCAGGCAGGGTTCACTTCACTGATAATCGGGTCTTTGTGAGTCAAGGGCCCATATGACAGCAGCTAAACATTTATATATAAACTATTCCTTTATACACAGTATCTATCTCTACGTCTCTCTATAGATCTATAGCTATTGATATTTATTTATTTATTTATAAGGGATCTTTGGTAGCTTAGTGGTAAGAAGTCGGGGTGCCAATCCAGGGGCATGAAGTTTGAATCCTTAAGCTGTTCTGCAGGAGAATTATGGGCACTCTATTTCTATTTACCACCTTTGAAAATTTACTGGAAGGTTATCTGTGAGTCAGTTCCAATTTGATGGTACCCAACAACCATTTATTTTATAAAGTTACATGTATGTATGTATATGTGTGTGTGTGTCTGTGTGTGTAATGTGTTTAGAGAGAGAGCACATGTGCACGTGAGTGTGCACTGATAACATAGTCGCACTAACACAAAGATGGTGTGACTCTGGTCGCTTAAATCCACCAGTGACTCTGTTGGAGAAAGATAAGCAATCTCCTTTTGTGCAATTTATAGCCTCTGAAAACCTGCTGGAGGGTCGAGTCAGGATCAACTCCTTACTCACTAGACCACCAGAGCGCAAGCGCGCGCGCGCACACACACACACACACACACACACACACACACACACACACTATATACTCATTTACATTTATTGCATTATATACAAATATCTTTCTCAGTTTATGCATAATGGGTCTGAGTCTGAATTTATATTTGTTCAATATAACTTTTTAAAAATTTATTTATTTATTTTTATTTCAATGAACATCTACAGAGATTTTGGAATTCCATTCATTCATTGTTGCACTTTTCTCCCCGCCCACCAAAAACAAACAAACACCATTAAAGAAATTTATGCTGAAACAAGAAAATAAGGCTAGATCAATTCCTCATGTTCCCATCATCAGATTCTGAGCATGGGGTCTCCCAAGCCTGGGTGAGCAGGAAGACACCACCCAGGCAGGTATGTGGAGTGCAGGGGCTTACCTTGCAATGTCCCAATGAGCTTCTCCCTGGTGGTGATGTTGTTCACCAAAACTGCCTGCAAGGAAGACACACACATGAAACCCTTCCACTAGCAACAGCAGCAAACCTGCGAAAAGGCACTGTTAGAGGGAAGTGGGAAAACATGACTTCTTCCTGGAAGGAGTGGCCCTCCCCACCTGGAAGCTAGGCAATCATTTTCAGAGGAGGGGGCATCTGAGAGACATGCTTTCCAAGCAAGGGACAAAACACAGATGCTGCCTCCTCCAAGAAAGGACCAAGTTGGCCTGGCTTCTCCTCACGTACCCCTGTCCCACCCTCAGACTGCCTCTCAAAGAGGGTCCCATAGCAAACTCCACAGGAACCTGAGGGTTTTAGGCAGAAATCAAACTCTGAACCCAGGCTAGCTAAAGGGGAGAAAGTGCAGGATTACAGAGGCCACACCACTAGTGAAATCCTTCTGGCCTTGTCTCTCCTCCCCACAGTCTGCTAGTTTGAAGGATGTTAGTGGTGTAGACTAAATTGTGTCCCCAAAAAAGAGTTGGTAGCTCTGGACATGGCCTTCTTTTAAAATAGCATCTTTGAAAATGTTATCAAGCAGCACAGGAAGGCAAAGTAAAGTATTATAATGAAATGTGCAAAGAACTGGAGTCCAAAAATCAAAAGGGTCGTATTTGCTTAGCATTTCTTAAGCTGAAGGAACTAAAGAACAAATTCAAGCTTTGGGTTGCAATATTTAAGAATGCTATGGGTAGAATACTGAATGATCAGGAAGAATGAAAAGAAGATGTAAGGAGTATACAGAGTCACTGTACCAAAAAGAATTGGCTGACACACAAAATGCAAATTAATGTACTGTGCAAAGAGGCACGAGGAAACTGGGCATGAGAGATGGGTGCATACTATTGATTTGGGGTAGTTTTTTCAGGTGTACAAATGTGTCAAAACTTGTCAAATACCTGTAGTTTACTGTATATCAATTACATGTCTAATCAAAGCTGCCTAAAGACATATGCACAGGC